AGTGTCAAATAATACCAATTCCGCTTGTGTTTATACCTCACCCTGTGTTACCTGAGCAACGGCCCTTCATGACTTCGGAGCTTACACCTATCTGTGTAATAGTTTACCCACAGCAACTTTTTGATAACGGGTTGAGTGATTGGTGCTGAGTGATGATCTCATTTTTTCGTTCCACTTTATTGCTTTCCCACGGATACACAAATCAAAACAGTACTTTCTCAGCTACAGGAGTTTGATGGCTAATTTCGGTATTTAGTTGAGGACAGAGATTTCTTAAGTCCAATGCACAGTCGGATACCTACGGCTCGCTTGTAATAATTACCGATGGATCAGGACAACGGCTACTGGCATCCATGATTGAACCAAGGTACCAAATTCGGAACATGAAGAACTCCCATTTGTCGATGCGCAGACTAAATCTAAAACTTCTGATTCTGTTAAACACTTCATTTAGGTGTGCATGATATGACGCAACTGAAGGGCTTAGAATAATTATGTCATCCATGTAAACCATAATGAAGGACAATCCATTTAGCATTGGGTCCATCGTTTGTTGGAAAATTGCAGAAGCATATTTAATTTTAAACGGCAGTCGATTGTATTGATAGAGACGTACACTAAGCGTGAAACACGTCTTGATTCCTTGTCAACTTAGACTTACAAGGCATCAGAAATATCGGATTGTGAAACTAATTTTTCGCCATTTAACCCTTTTGCGCATGACTTTTGGATGGATAATAAAAAAAATATTTTATCAATTTTAACCGATTTGGAATGTACGAACGCACTTAAAAATTACCGTGGAGACAATGGTTACATCATTGGGATACCGCTGCGTGACCTAATCTATCAATTCGCACCTTTAGTCCATTTAAGGCAGAATAGAAACGAAGTTCGCAATTCGTAAATGCATGGACAAACCCATGGTTTACTACCGACTGTCAATTTTGCTAGCGTACGTTAACTTCCATTATCGTATGTAACCTAACCTGGTGTGTGGGGTTCAGTGACGACGTACACCGGTGCCTATCTTTTTCCTTACCAGTTCCGGGTGAACCATCGTTTCCGGATATATTAGTTAACTCACTTGTAGCAATCAACAGACTTTGGAGGCGAACCAGATTACCTTGTCGGAATGCAATCACCAACCCACTGCCGAAAATTGAACTTCACACATGGTCTCATCTTGGGTTATGTCTCCAGTGCTGATTCAACAATATGATCGCTTTGTTCAGCACGTAAGTAACCCAATCAGGAGAGTTATTTTCGCGAGATCAAACAGGTCTACCTGGGTCAGTGAGACTAAACACAAAGTAACCTGCTTCTTGGCTCCCAACCATTAGGCACCATACCTCGCACCCATCCCGGCAACTTCAGGATCACAAACTAGACCGGTTGGTATACTTGAGAACCCAGACAGGAATGATTCCGGTAGGACGATGCAGCAGTGGAAATGGGTGTCACCAAACTTCTGCGTGTCACATTTTCCCCTGTAAAGTGTATGAAAGCATATAATATGCTCATCCAGTCTAACAATGCGTCGAGTGAATCCCATGAAATGTTTCAGAAGTATTTGCTACGAAGTACCATTGGTCGCACTTAAAATTTGAGATAGGCGACGTTTCCGACCTTTGGTGCACACATCGCATCAGCGGTGTTTATGAGCACTGTCTGACATTTGTTGACCTCAACGAAACGTAGAGGGAGGACTAACGCGTGAAATGCGTGTTAACGGAATCGAACTGATGTCAAACTGCGTTCATTAACTACCAGCCAGACGGTAAGGCGGAACCGCGTCGATTTCGGCGGAGGTCACATCTGGTAGCTGACTGGCGAACGTTATGAAGAGGGAAAGATTCAAATTGGTAGGAACATATTTGTATCTTATCCAGTGCATTGGTTCCAGCAGTCAGACGAATCGAAGCAAATCGAACGCCAAACCCTATTCACTAGGCACTGAACCACAGTGCCACTTAGTTCCACACCCAGAAAGAAGTGGCAACACTCATCTGTGGTCTGCTACTCGATCCAGGGATCACTTATTTCCCACATATATGTGTCAGGAGTTTCACCGGGTTTAGTCGCAGCCCCTACTTCTCCAATTCAGGTCAGCAACCAGAACACCGAGAGGAAAAAGCACTTTCATCAGAGATTTACGTAACAAAAATGAAAGCTTGCAGTTACGAGCTGTCATATAAAATTCGACTCAGTTAAGGGTTTTCCTTAACGATGCCGCTCGTGGTGTACTGCAGCAGTTGACTCCAGACGCCTTATGGTGGCTTCGCATTGGATTTTTTCCAGTTAAGCCCCGCCAAAAAGTTAAGCCCCGCCACTCAAAATAGATTATGAAAAGAGAGGATATGGAACTTGAACTTTTACTCTCTATTGAAGAGGGTGAAAGTGAGAAAGTCATTAATAATTTGCATGAACAGGTCCATTTTTCGGTGTCTTTGCCTCCAAACGAACTCACACAGTTAGCTGTCCACTAAAGATCGGTGTGTGCCGCATTGGCGCTTATTCTGCATCTTGTAAATGTGCCAGAGAGATTCGATGGTTTGTGTGTGAGCTCCAGTCGTTGGATCCACAAAGTTTTCGGTATGATTAACCGTTTGATGAGTATAACTCATGCCAATCATCGATTCAATGCCTTGGTATGAGGCCCACATATCGGAAATGATAATTGAGCCGGAAGCGATGCAGGCCTGGATTGTGTCCAGCAGAGTGGCCGCAGTTCGATCTGGCACTGCATACAAGAACACTTCTTTAGTCTCCCGGCAAATCCCTCCGAAAATCCACTGCTGGGGAAGGACTCACCCTGCATGGATTTTACGACGTGATATTAGGGTTTCATCGATCTCGACATGTAGACCTGGGCCGCCGACAATCGTTGGAGTCTGCAAAAGCTGCCAGGCGCAAATTTCACGCAGAAAGTTCTTCCAGTCGACAGCGGTCGAGTGGCCAATAGATAACTCCTCTGAGCAGAATTTGATTGTTGTCAGATTTTTGGACCAGCAATAAATGAATAGGATTATTGTCCTGAAATCCATCCTAGACCGCTGCAGCCAAGTTCCCTTTCGAAGACCGATTTCTTGCCGACATTGTCGGGCATCACTCCTCCACCTGTCCGAAACAGTTGAAAGTGTCATTTGGTGTCCTCGTCTGCATAAACGTTGATGATGAATCACTCCATGGCTTTGCAAAAAACGTATTGCTATTTCCTTGTCATGAACGGCCGCCGAAAGCGTCAGAAAGTTCATGTCAGGTTTTACGTGCGAACGTAGAAACTTTTTGGACAAAAATGACCTTAGAAGCGGATAACGAGTGTTTTTATGGGGCACGTTCACATGCATTACGTACACTGGAGCTGACAAACACTGGCGGGGCTCAACTTTTCACGCGTGCCCTTTTTTGCACTATTGGTGGGGCTTGACTCTTCAGGTGTACCCTTTTTGCCTTAGTGGCTGGGCTTAACTGGAAAAGATCCTTCGCATTTATCACTAGGTCCCGGAAGTCAAATAAGTCAAAGATGTGAGTTTCTGTATTTAAGTGCTGCATCAGAATGAAACCTTAGCGAATCGAGTTACTTTTTCGTCCGTGAACCGCACCAGAAGCTGCGTAAGTCAGTGGACGAAGGTGGGGTGAACATTCGACTTCAGCTAATTGCAAGATCTAACTTGATTATCTTTGTTTGTCACATATACTTTGGTCTGTCTGTGTCTTACTGGTGTCTCCGAAGACTATTTTTGTAGACACTTGTGTTGGTTCATCTGGGTGTCACCCATGGTCTTAGTAATTAGCAGTCAAACCTCTTTACATGCGAATTAGAAGGCGTCGGTATCTGAGACCGTGAGAATCAAGTGAACATATGGCAGCTCGGTATTTCGTGTTTCAACGTACAAAATTTTGGTATATAATTAGAAACGATGGATAATTCATGACTTCAGAGAAACTTTTGACGCAAAAGTTGGCCAGACAAAGCTTTTCCTCCAAAAGTGGAATGTTGCCGAATAAATAAATCGACAGATTGCTTGCAAATATCTGAAATCAAACCATCTTCTTTCTGCTGATTCGGTAAATTGTGCCTACAAGAGAGACGGACAATAAGTTACACAGTTTTGAAGAGAGAAAAGATGTCTTCAGCCAGATGAAACCGTTGCTCTGGTAGAACAACCATACGGATGAACCTTTCCACCATGCTTAGGAAGTGGATTCGACGTGTCTTTTTCCTGTCATAGTTAAGTGAAACTGAGACATGCACTAGCCCCTGTAAAGTGAAATTGGATTTATCTGTGGTAACTGAGAGCACCACAGCGTAGGATTTTATCGAGAAACCGGGAAAGTTGTGCTAAAGCTGAGTGTTTTGCCAGTTCCGTGAATCGTTATGCCACGTCGCGCGCTCCCAAATTCCGCTGCTGACATGCTCACCCGCCTGAGTGGAGAGTTTCCCTGAAGCTGGACCAATGGGAATTCGAGGACATTGAACCAATAAGATCATTAGTTGTAATCACATGTGCCTTCGCAAACAGGTCCCCATCGACCTCAGCTGTGTCTCTCTCACCCCGGAACCAATTGATTCACGGCATTCCGCGTCTGCAGGCGTACTGATGACCACGAGATAAGCAAATGAGAATGCTTGTGTTGCCTCTCACCTAGCCGTTCTACCCCACCTGGTTCAACAGAGACAAATCTCCACAGGCGGTTCGGTGGTGGTGGAAGCAAACGACCCCAAACGACGGCATTTAGCCTCATGGCTTCGACCCCCGCGTGGTGAACATTTTGAAAAAAGATTCGCCTATCAGAGTCTAGCTGATGGCAGATCGGAACGACGATTACTACCTAACGCATACGCGGCAGTATGCATATACACGCAGTTGTGCTCCTGTCCATTTCATACGAGCTTGCATTTGCTGTGCGTGTGTGCGTTCGCACGATTGCTCGTGTGTGTGTGTGTGTGTGCTGCACCCGGATAGTGGTGGCCAAATCATACGACTTGACTCGCATCTGCTGAAATTTCTGCCGCCAGTGTGCTGATGCTGTTGTTTCTGGTGCTGGTGGTGGTGGTGGTGACGGTGCAACTCAGCGGGGTGGAAAGGTAACAGGCGCTTTGAAGCGTATCTCCGCACATCATACAAGGGCCCAAAAACTGACCGTCGATTGTCTGCTGAACAAATCACACCTGGCCAGCACGCAACGCGTCGACAGAACCCAAGTGGTGGCGTTGTGTTCCTCCAATCAGCTGAGCGATTTTACTTGTCCTACTCGCTCCCGTTCCCACGTCCTATTCCTACTCCCCATTACCTCCCTCCGGCAATGTAACACGACATGAGACTACCCAGCCGGTGGTAATTCACACACTCAGTAGCGACTGCAGCAACAGTAGCAGTAGCGACGATCAGCATCTCGACCTGTCCATCATCCCGCTGCGTTTTTCAAACCAAGGTTGATTCAGCTCCGCAACAGTAATGACCTTCTAGCTTCCAGCTGAGCGTTGATCTACACTGCTGGCAGTGAAACCACGGTGACCAAAAAGCGCAGCAAGACCACAGGATACCATTTGGACATTCAGCACTAACCAAGCCACCTGCTGGCCTCAAATCCACAGGCTGCCAATTAGCGAGGATTATTGAATATCTCTGTCCTGAATCAATGCTCTCTCTAACTGCTGACTTGCTATAGTAAATCAGCCACCCACGTACCCACAAAGCTGGCGAGAATGCACACCCATTTATCCACTGTTGCCGCATCGGCGAACACGCTCACACACGCTCACCGCCAGTCGGCTGCAGCTGTTGAACTGAACCTTGTAACCTCAAATCTAGCATCTTACCATGCGTACTACCAAAGCGACGAATGCAGTGCTCCGGCGACCACCCAGTCACTTGCAGCCGACAGCAACAGGATCCTCCGACAGTCCTCACCGACGAGGCACAATCACCTCAGCTATCCTTCATCGGATCATGGTTTGGCAGACTTGAACAATTCCGTCATCCATCTACCCTCTTACCCAGCTGCAGCTGCTGCAGCAGTCGCTGCTGCTGCTGCTGCCGTCAGATCCATTCCTTGTGTCGCATCGTCCTCCGGAACATGCGGCTACTTCGGTACCAGATTTCCAGCTGTCTATACAGGTTCTTTCACTCGTGCACATCAAGATGGCTTCCAACCAACCGGCCCACACGTCTCCCAACGTCGTTCTTCCACTGTAAATCCCGCACAATGGCATCAGCAACCGGGACAACCCATGCATGGCACCAATCTGTTTCCCGGGTCAACAGCTTTCTATCCATCTGGACTGGCGACAAACTACGAATCCGGTCCACACTCCGCTCACACATCTCAGTTGTATCGATATTTGCATGACAGGCGGACTGACGTGTATGGTCAAACATTGGGGTTCGGTGTCGCCAAATCGATGACACCGAATCAACCCAACATGAGCCCAGTAAGTCGGTCGAATTGCTTCCCATCCACCTATCCCCATTGTGGAATCTACATGGATCACTACGCATTCGGGACCAATCGGTCTGGCCGCAGTGGTCCACAAATTGGACTGGGTACAGTGGCTCCGGTCCCGACACATATTGAGGGCCCACATAGTGTCCCCAACGGTGAGCTCATCTATTGCCAGTGGGTTGACCCATTGCCACTAATTCCTGGAGTACCACAAAAGCCATGTACCAAAGTGTTCGACTCCGTACTGGACATTGTCAATCATATCACATTGGAACATGTTGGAGGCCCGGAACAGCTCGATCATACGTGCTATTGGAGAGATTGTGCTCGTGAGGGACGACCGTTCAAAGCCAAATACAAGCTGGTCAATCATATCCGAGTTCATACCGGTGAGAAACCGTTTCCATGCCCTTTTCCTGGATGTGGCAAAGTTTTTGCGAGGAGTGAAAATTTGAAAATTCACAAGCGTACACATACAGGTAAGTGACGTTGTGAATTTCATGCGATCTGTTGCGTTTCGCTGTTAGGTGTGACAATATCAGATGCACTGTTTTCTTTACTTGATATCACTACATCTCAGGAAGCGGTTCAATGATTCCAGCTGACTGAAACACTTTACTGGATACTATACGTTCAGATAACAGGGTAAAAACCGTGCTGCAGTACCTTGATAAATCGACCAAGTTGGCCTAGCTGACATATTATCCAGGTGCCATGGCCCGCAACATGTACACTAGTGATCACTTTTTTGCAGTACCGCGTTTTGCGTAATAGTCATAACAATACGGAGTGTCGTATGCTGTTGCTGAGCGGGTGACTGAGAAGTAGGGCAAGACCTCTTATCTGAGAGCATCAAACGCACAGTATAACAATGCTGTCTGGTCTCTGGTTCTGAACGTTTAAGTCGATGGCCTAAGGGAATTGTATAGCACATGACGAGATTCTGCTTAGATCGGATAGATTTAAATCACAATCAGCATGTTATTTGAGAAAAGCTTTGAATCCACGAAATAGAGATAAGATACCTATGAACTGAATGAGGTAAAATATTTACCGTGTCTAACCCCAATATGATTACTACGTGCAGGTTTACAGCATCTGTGTCTTCTCTGGGACATATCATGCCACAAACTCCTAGCCACATTACTCGAGCTATCAAAATATCTATCCTTACTTGCATGAGACTCAGTAGTAAGTCAATTAAAGGTTTGGTATCTCAAACGTAGTTTCCTGCTGAGCAAAATCTGTCCACTCATTCGGTCTCTCATCTAGGGGGAAACATTCAAGCGGTGTTCGAACGGATCCGTCCATCGGTCAGCTGACCTTAATATGACAGTGCCGCAACATGGCTAACTGTACGTAACCTGACACCGTGCATCTGACTACGTCATGTCTCCTTCTAGTAAATAGCAACATTCCTAACCTGCTTGCTAACCAACGTAGTAGTATTCAAAAGTAATAAGTGTTGATGACATTATCAAGTGATTACTGTTGGGACAAAGACCTATTCACGATGTGGATGTCGAAGTCTGTTCACTAAGTGGCCTTTAGTTCATTTGAAATCCACCACTGACATGACTTGTCCCAAGTGTCCCAAATTTCCACATACAGGAAGACGCAGACATCACTTTGCGGTGAGGTCGAAGAACTTCGTACTTCTTTACCTTGCCATTTACCGATTACTCCAGTTTCATCCAACGAGACGGAACATCTGCGGACAGTACACGTCAAGGTTACCGACCTGGAGGCAAACGAAGGATTTGACCGGGCCAGTTGAGGTGCACGAATGGGGCATCAGAGGAAAAACGATGCGATGTAGTTGACTTGATGATGGTAAGTATGGACAAAAGCGGATGACTAAGACAAAGCGCTGAACAGGGAATGGAGAACCGCGTCCGAATAGAATAGCCTGTGCTGGAATCAGTAAACCACTAGACAGAATTGACAGGAGCTGTGAGTTTCAAGAACACCAACACTCCAGTGGTCCACACTTCCAAGTACTGTAAGGAATTTGCAAATGAGTAGAACTATTTTTTATGTGCTGGAAAATGGCTTCCAGATGAGGTAGTACTGCGTGGGTTGACATCCGTCCATTATGGCGCTTCAATAGTTGCTCGTATTCATAAGTTTATGAGGCATCTTGATTAAAAATTACCTCGGGAAAGTTACGTCGACCGAAATCTACCAAAAGCTATGGGTATACGCAACGGAACCTGTTTCGAAAGGAATCTGCTTCGAGACTGTGGATGGTCGATTCTCGAAGTCTACTTGTTAAGAATCGTTGGCCTTGCACCACAAGCCACGCATAGCCATGACTGCGCGCTTTTGCTTGATGCAAGTTATGCCTTGGTCACTACTGCTTATACTGGTACTAGCCTTAACGGATGGGTCAACACCATGAAACCGGGGACATAAACACTGAAAGAATTCCACAACCTCCCATCAGATTCAGGTAGAAGTAGAACGATAGGAAAATCTCTTGAGTGTTCCTTCTTGAGCGGATCGTTGAGCCAGGAAAGGATAAGGTGCTACGAAGTCTTGATGGATCTAAAACGAAACACCAGAACCACACTCTGGCCAACCAGTTAGTCCACGTTCCCTGCACTAGCAGTTCCCACTGTGCCGGCTACGTGAAGTATGAAGAACGTAGAACGGAAATGGAAGATAAAGAGGAAGTCATTTAAATGAAGGATAACACCAGAGTGAGGAGAATGACAGAATATGAACTCAAAGTTGGAAGATGGATATGGTCAGGAGAAGGGAAAGTTTTCCTGTTGTTACCCAAGAGCGTCTAACTGACGCTCGAAACCCTTAACGGTAGGTTCACTGACTACACTTTCTGAAAGCGAGTTCCAGCGCTCGATAACTCTATGCGATAACCGAGTTAGCGCTCTGATCCGTTCGGAACGTAGCTTGTGTACCTTTACGGGATTAGCGCGAGGACAAGGAAACCTAGCCGGGCTAAATAGCCAGCTCAAGTCCGGTCCAACCTTCCCTGCCAAAATACGGTAACTAAACATTAGGTCTCCTCGAAGCCGTCGGAAGTGCCCTAAATACACACCCAAGCTAAGTAGACGCTCGGGGTACGTCTGTCTCCGTAATCCCTCAACCAACCCAGTACCCACCCCTAAAACCCTCTCGAGCTCCCCTTTGTCCCGAATAAGGCAGCGTGGGCAAGCCTGGACGCAATTTTCCAGATTTGGCCGAATGAAAGCTGAGAACAGCTTCACAAAGATGTCGGCAGTTAAGACCCGGAAAGAACGACGTATTAACCACAACATTCTGAAACCCCTACTTGCGACATTCCAGTTGTCACCAGAATGCAGACGAAGAATGGACGACCCTAGGTCTACCTGGTTGGAAACAATGGGCAGTTCGCTCCCACCTATCACGTACCTCGAAAGGGAGAAAGTTGCTGCTATACGAAGAACGGAACACTTAGCTTGATTAATGGGAAGTAATCACAAAGTAGATAAGCCTCAGAGTCTGTTCAAGGCATGTTGGATGGCCTCAGAAACCCCAAGGACATCTACACTAAACAGATTAAGTTCATCAGCAAACAAAAGTGATGATACCCCAAGCTCCCCAGGGAGACCATAGATGGAGAACAGTATCGATCCAAGGACCGAGTCCTGTGGGACACCGTTAAGGACCGCTTGCCTAAAGGATAAGCTACGACTCACGCGTACACACTGCTCTCTTCCCTGCAAGAATACAGACACACAGTGAAGGAAGCGGCCAGATACACCGTAGGAGCTCAGCTTTTGTGATACCCTCAGGTGGGGTACCTTATCAAATGCTTTCGAGAAGTCGACGAAAAGCACGTCCACTACGTGGCATTGTCTATGGCCTCAGCCCAAGCTTCATGAGCAACCAACAAATTCGTCAAACATGAATACCCCTTCCGGAATCCTTGTTGTGCGTTACTGAATAGATTAAATCCATTCAGGTGACCTTCCAACGATCCTCTCACCAGCTCCTCAATCAGTATGACCACGACGCTAGTTAGACTGAAAGGCCTATAATTGGCCAAATGACCTTTTTCATGTCCCTGGATAACAGTATAAGGGAAGCATGTTGGGCGATTGTCGAGAGTATGGTTCACTTGGTGCATTTTGTGCATCATCGTCACGGTTATATCTCGGCTGTACGGCTGTCGTCGTCAAATGCTTAAGTCAGTCATCCTGGCTCTATGCAAAGTCCGATGATTCCTAGGGCACGAATGTTGACATTGTTAACGCCTTCGTCACCGTCAACTCGATTATTGTGACCTTGAGACCGCGAGTATTCTATAGATGAGAGTGATGCATATTCTTCCTTACTGTACCATCCAATGGACCAACCGCCAACATGGAAAAGTTTGGTAGTAAAGTCTCACACAGTTGTACATCACTGATATTGAAAATGGGCTCTGTCCCTCACAGTCGTGGTTGCTATCCGCGTGCACACCAGCTTACTTCCTCCGCTTGACGCCTGTTATCTGGTGTGCGGACGCTACTGTGAATGGTTATTCTACGAATGCACACTTCCTGTGGTGTGTAACATTCAAGGTGGTCAGCTGCTTCGGAGGCGGACACTACCGTTACTCGCGTCCGTATGGGGAGCAGAAATCGTGAATCTATCGACACTCAGATCACACCTATTCCCCTTGAGTGTAACCCCCTAAAATGCTAAGCTACAGTCGCTTCGACAATTCTCTGGATTCGTTCCGCCACCTCGTCGACCATTTCTAAATGTCTTCAACACCGCACGCCACACTACAGATGGGCACATCGCTGAGAAGTAGTGCGTGCAGCCACATTCATGTGAAGTGCCACGGGAGGACGCACATAGGGAAGGTGCATACCGAAATCAGCTCGACTACCGGAAAACCTCTAACCCATCCGTTTAGACTAGAAGCTGTGTAACGGTTTCGTAGATGGTGAAACCTACTAGCTGAATTACAGCGTGAAATTAGATATCTGAAGACACACAGTACAAACAGAATATTTTGTAGATGGAACGTACGAGCACCCAAGTCTTGAAAAAATAGGGTGTCGACACTGAAGAGCATGGCTACTGAGTTTGTCACCAGAGAGGTTAACATTGGCTCCAACACCGAACATGACGTTAAGGATGTTGTACGGCAGTATGGGTAATAATAATATCAATAGTAAACAGATCTGTCCTATGTACTTAAACGCATTGCCCGTTGTTCAGAATGTATATGAGAAAGTTGGGTGGTAATCATAACGGGGTAAACTTCTTGTAGCCTTTTCATCAACATGTCAAGAAACCGAATCTGTATAGGCTCCAATACCCCCTGGGAAGAGGTGGTTTGCGTTGCCAAACAATTTCCTAGCATTTTCGTGCCCAGATTTGAGCTATTTCGCTCATTTATATGGTCTTTCATGTAGGTGCACTCTCAACACTATAGCCAAGCCCCGAGGAGTATAAGATCGCCTGCTAACAGTGTAGATTGAAGTCACGACCCAAAGAG